TGAGTTCATGTCCATAAAATGTTGAATCCATTTAATATTTGACTTTCTGTATAGGTTGAGGTTTAACCCAGGGCACAGTACACATCAGGCAAATGTCCTTTCACTGAGGTCCCCACGCCCCAGGCCCTCACTCATCCTCTGGAATCATTTTTTGATGCTGTTACACTCTACACAATTATCCACAAATAATCATAGATGGAAGAACTTCAAACATCACAGATGCAAATTTTAAAACAAATATCCATAAATTAACTTGAGTGCTACAGTAACAGAGTAATTGGACATTACTCTGGCCACAGTTATTCAGGAGACTGAAGCAGAAGGATTGCTTAGGAGTTAGAGCCCACTCTAGGCAGGAAGAAATGAGAGCAATCCTGAGTTCTCTTTCTCCCACAGAAACATTAAAAAAAAAAACAGAACTCCACTGAACTAAAAGTCAGAAGTTGATGGTAACCACATGTATGCCCAATGAAGAAAAAGCCATATTCAAAATTGGGAGATCTCAGGCTAGAAAGATGGCTCGGTGGTTAAGAGCATTGGCTGCTCCTACAGAGGACCAGAGATCTGTTGCCAGTACCCACCTGCAGGCTAACATCCAGTCCCAGAGGGTCTGATGCTATCGTCCAGCCTCTGTGAACCCCACATGCACAGTAACAGAGAGGCATGTCACCAAAACACCCATATGCATAAAATAAAAATAAATAAGTTCTTAAGCCAACAGCAACAACAAAACTAGTTGACAAATGCCAAATCATTTTAGGTCTCAGCCTGCAGGAAAACTGATCCTGATGGGTCTTCAAAGGAAAACACCAGTGGGTAAGATGCACAGAGACTGAGGCTGGCCACCTTATGTCGTTCAGCCTGATATAACAAAGTGACACAAGCTTGGTGGGTTATGAATAATGGACCTTATTTTCTTGCAGTGTAGAGGGCAGATGTGCAAAATGAAGATGCCATCATGCTCAGGATCTAGTGACAATCTTCCTTTCTTTGAAGATTGCCAGTGTCTCACTGTGACATGATGTGGTATAGGGTGAGCTTAGCTGTCTGGAGCACCTTTTATCAGAACGCTGGGTCCATTTATGACTCTACCTTCGTAGATGGCTCTACTCTCAGAGGCCTCATTACCACAGGAGTGAGGAATTACAACATAACTTTTGAAAGGAAAGAAGCATTGGAGCATAGTGATTCTGTTGTAACCATAAAAACCCCACCTCACTGGAAATATGTGGGTGTCTAATAGGAAGAGAGGACCACAACTCAGTCCATGCTCTTCAAAATCAATGGCCAAAGTTTACAAATCAAATTTACTCCCCAAAAGAAGGAAGATAATTCACCTGCTCTATTATTCTATGTG